GGTTTAATAATTTTTAAAACGCTCGTAAAACACACTATTTTATGAAGTAGATTAGGCTGATTTTAGAAAAATTTATTACTTTGACAGAGCTTGGATTCAAATAACCTGTAATTACCAAAAAAGCATGCACGTGAAAAAGTTTTCGTTTTTGCTTTAAAAATTACTTTCCTTTTGTCAAAAAATGCACATCAATTTATAAAAATTGTAGACAGAAAGATAAATATTTTTCAGAGTGCTTTTTGAAAATTTTATTCCAGCAATAAATATTTTTCAACACTTTTAACAATCTTTGGTCAATTTGACGCATTAAAATTAAATTACAATATTTAATAACAAATTACAAAATAGCAAAAAAAAATTTTTTTAAGGTATCAGCATAAGATAACGCAAAAACAATTCATCTATATTCGAAAGATTCATAACATACAAAGCATGAACAACAGTTTCATTAATATTCATTTAGATAAGAATATTCAAAAATTAAAATGGCTAACAATGAATTAAATTCCTTTTTTATTAATATGATTTAATGTATTGGATGTAGCAATAAAGGAAACGAAGGAAATAAAAATAAATATGAAAATATGACCACCGAAGCCGACGTCTTCAGGGGGTACCGGCCCCGGTAGCCATAAAACAAAACCTTTTCTATTGAGGGGGAGGCAATTGCCTCAGTACCTTCAGTACGCGTGCCCAAACAAGGAGCACTGAAGTTAATCTTGACTTAGGGATTACTTCGGNGCCCCGGTAGCCATAAAACAAAACCTTTTCTATTGAGGGGGAGGCAATTGCCTAAAGTAACACCCTCAGTACCCTTAGCACCCTCAGTACGCGCGCCCAAACAAGGAGCACTGAAGTTAATCTTGACTTAGGGATTACTTCGGACAGAAAGTTACTAAGTCATATATTATGTTTAAATAAATTAAAAAATATAAAAAAATTTAAAATGTTTAAAAATGTTAAAAATAAAAAATGCAAAACTTGTCCTTTGGCTGTTAGTTCTCAGATTGACAGCCATTCTAATGTATATTTTTGTAAAAGTTTTAATATTATTTATTTAATTCAGTGCATTGATGTTATGTTGGTCAGACAGGTCTTGAATTTCATAAGCGGATTAATTCCCACAGGTCTGATATAAAAAAATTTAATAATAGTAATTTTTCCACTGATTATGAAATTTCGCATTTTCAATTTCATGATTTTGATAATGTTACTCTTTTCATTTTAGATTTGATGGAAAATTTAGTTAATAGACTTGATTTAGAAAACATTTACATTAGTAGTCTTAAAACTCTTTTTCCATATGGATTAAATAGTAAATTTAATGGGGAAGGTAATGCTAATACTGAAGAAAATTGTATATATGATAAATTTAAAATTTATGATTTTCCTTGTGTTTTTGATTCAAAATATAGGAATAAAAGAGGTGGGAGAAAAGGTAAAGTTATAGAATTTGATGAATTTTCGAATTTTTGTAACTTACCTGTTAATTTGAATAATATTTTCATTATTAGGAAATATATTTTTGGTTTTAAAAATAAAGTTCTTAAAAATTTCCTTATTAATTTTGGTTCTAAAATTAAATTTGATATTCAACTTATTAAATTTATTGTTTGTGATTTGATTAAATCAAAAATTGGTGTTAGCAAAACTGATATGCTTTTTAATAAGGTTTCTAAAGTTGAAAAGGTTTTTTGTAGGATTAATTTTCATGACAAAAAATTTGAAATGGCTAGGCTACCACAGATTATTCATACTCTTCCTGATTTTTTTCCTTTAGAGCAAATTAAGGTTTCTGCTGCTTTTAAATTTTTTTCTACGCTTAGAAAAAAGGTGTGTAATTATAATTTTTTAAGTCGAAATCCAAATTGTATTTCTAAATTTGATTGTTATTGTAATGAAAAGGATTTTTCACAATATATTGATAATGATTATGGACATGTTATTACGGGAAATTTGGAGGTTGTTGGTGATCAAGATTTAATTAATATTTTAAGCAAAGGTTCAAAATTTAGGACAAGGATTAAAATGAAAAAAGAAGATTTTATTTTATCTATTAAAAAGGATCTAGATTTTTTTATTGCAAAAATTTCCAGAAAATGTCATTGGCCCGTAGAGGGTTTTTCAGAGTGGAAAGCTAAAATTATTGAAAGGGTTAAATTTAATTTATTTAATACCATATTTAGTTCATTTCCTAGTGGTACTTATATTGATTATGAATTGTCTAGGAAAATTAGGAATCTTAAAGATTAATTCATTGTTACTGTAGTGCAGTGTTTCCCAAACTTATGACATTTGTGTACCCTTTCTAAATTTTTCGTAACGCTGTGTACCACTAATAAAAAAATGAATGTATTTTTTCACTATAAAAAAATTTCACAAAAGTTAAAAATCACAACTGGCTGTTGACACAAATTATTAACTGTTAACTCTGAAAAAAATAGCCAATAGAAAAATAAGTAATCGTGAATTTTCATGGCTAGCTTTGTTTTTAAACAAAATTTTTTGAAATTTTCATTTGTTGCAAGATATTACGTATAAGAACGCGTACCCCCGCTAAACTGTTCCCGTACCCCTGGGGGTACGCGTACCACACTTTGGGAAACACTGCTGTAGTGGATAAAGCTTCAAATAATTTTTGTATTAAGTGTAAATATTTTTTTAAAAAATTGATTATTGGAGAATTTAGCGCAAATAATACTTATTTAAAATTAAAAGTAGATAAAAAAGTTATTGAAAAAAGAATTATTGCATTTAGTAAAAAATTAAAATTTAGTTTAAATAGGATTACATTTCCCAATTTATTTCCTATTGTCAAATTTCATAAAAATCCGATTAAATTTAGATTTATAGCATGTGGTATTAATTGTTACAATTCTGATATTAGTAAAACGTTTTTTTAGTTTTCTAAAAATTATTTTGCTTAAAATTAAAAAAGAGAAAAATATTGTTATAAAGAGTAATGTTGAAGTTTTGGATTATATTAATAATAATGATATTTCCAGCATTAATACTTTTGATTTCGAAAATTTGTATTCAAGTATAACCACATGAAAAGATTATTGAGATTTGAGAAGGTATTTTTGATAGGTATTTATTTAATGAGAAAATTGATAAGTCTAATTGGTTTGATTTATGTAGGTTTAATCTTTTTGAGAATGTTCTTTTTAATGGTTTAGATTTTTATAAACAAGTTAATGGAATTCCACAGGGTAATTCCTTTTCTGGTGCTTTTGCTAATATTTTTCTGCATTTTTGTGAAGTTAAATTTCTAGAGCATAATGAATTTAATGCTTTCAGATATATAGATGATTTGATTTTGTTTAATTGTGATAATTATAATTTTATTTATAGTTTTTATCCTAAAGATTTGATTTTGAAAAAAAACTAATGAGAATTGTTGAATATTTAGATTTTAAAATTAATATTGTTGACAATTTTATTAAAATTGGTGTTTTTGATAAAAGAAAAGCTTTTAAATTTAAAGGGGTTTTTTTCTGTAATTTTAATACTAATTTGTGTAATAAAATTTTTAAAAATTTGGTTTTTTCGCAATTGGTTAGGATTAAAAATATTTGCAATAATGTTGAAAGTTTTCGGGAAGCTGTGAATAATTTTTTTAAATAATTTGAGTAATAATGATTTTCCTTTCAATTTTTGTAAAGTTAATTTTTTAATTAAGAAAATGATCGAAGAATTCAAGTTTTTTATATTTTCTTCTTTTAACAGGGCGCAATTCAAGTCTTAACTGAGCAGCCCCAGTTGAGCATTCTATTAATTTGTGACGTATCTTTTTCTTGAATTCTTTTTTCTCAATCTGCGCAATGTAATAGAGGACGTTGTTTTCTTTTGTTTTAGTGTTTCCTTTTCATTCTGTGTGCTTATGAAATCGATGTTTGACCTGGTTTAAGTGAGTTTTGAGTTTTTATTTTCTGATGAATTTGTTTGAGTTTCTTTTCTAAATTGTTTCTTTGTATTTCATGTTTTTTCCTGGACTTCTACGCAAAACCTTCGGGGTACTGAGGGTGTTACTTTAGGCAATTGCCTCCCCCTCAATAGAAAAGGTTTTGTTTTATGGCTACCGGGGCTGGTACCCCCTGAAGACGTCGGCTTCGGTGGTCATATTTTCATATTTATTTTTATTTCCTTCGTTTCCTTTATTGCTACATTTATCCTTTTTGTGAAATTTCTGCTGCTTTTATGCGCGTTTTTTTACATAGAAGTTTTAACAATTTTGATTTAAAAAAATTTCTGTTTTCTCTTAGTATTAATGTATCGGAGTTTCTTTGCTTTCAAGTACGAATATTTATGAAATTTTACTCATATGATTGCAAGCTATCATTAAGAATAAATAAGCTTTCAAATGCCAATCAACGTTGTTATTAATTTTTCATTCTTTTAAAAGTATAACTAAAGCTTTTTTACTAGTTTTTTTAAATAATAAAAATGTTAACCCTTAATGACATCTTATATTTGTTTGTATATGCATTTAAACACGACAAAAGATGTTTAAATTTGTTTTATTTCACGTCTAAGAGTTTTGAAAAAGTACGAATGTTTTGTTAGTTTCATATTCTAATGTTCGCTAACAATGAACAATATATAAAATAATGTAATTCTTAAATACAACGTATTTAATTAAAAAGCTTATTATTAAGTTTGCAAAAACTGCCTCGTTTGATAATCCATTTTTTTTAATTACCTAACGTTTCGGAAACCTAAATACTGATACTTAGGATTCATTTTTGTAGTTCCCTTTACATCTTGGAACTGCACACGAATATGGTATTGTTAAAAGCTGTAAAATAATGCAACATATATTTTTTTAAATTCGTTTAAAACGACATATCCGAAGGACAAATGGCGGCTAATAGCGTATCACCACAGTATGTGACGTCACTAAAAGACCTAGATTATCTCAACGGCCTCATTTCTCGGTGGATATACATGGATCCGATCTTCTCCCCAGATGGCGCATTCAAGCGTTGCGCTCAAAAAGTATTCATTGTATTTGCTATCTGTTTAGCCTCAACCAAAGCCTTATTAATGACTGAAAGAAAGCTATAAACTGAAGAAAAGATCTCGTCTCACTTTACTACACTGATAAACTAGTCAATAACAGAAACAAAGCAATCCGTTATCCGAATAAGGATCATGTCAAATAGAAATTATTGCTTTAATATGTGGGAAATATATTCATTGATTGTAGATTTTTTGCACTAAGATACTTACACAACGTTTGACGAAAAGACATTGGCAATGTATGAACGAAAATAATTCAAATGGCCGAAAGTGTTTCAAAATAATGTAAAAACTTCATTTTTATAAACTGCTTGCTCTGAAACTCTCTTCATAATGCTGATGGGAAAAGTGTGTTACTTATGAAATATGCTGTTTGAACAATGTTTCTCTGAGAAAAATAATGGTTTGACTAAGCAATTTCATTATTAGACAAACGTAAATTTTTTTTTAATTTGTTAGCCTGCTAAACAATTAACAATAGTAATAGGTTAGGGTAACTAAACTTTTATGAGGCATATTAGATTAATTTTTTGTTCACACTAGTTTAAATTATTCGTATCTCTGTGTATGTAATAAAATATTTGCTCAAAATTTCAACCTATAATATGTAACTATATTTTTGCCTTAAGTCTGTATCGTTAAACATTCTTTATATTATTAGTTTCTCTAAGGTTTGTGTTGATCTTAATCATATGATAGCCAAAACATATAGTTACAGCCTTAAAATTTGTTTTGAATGCTACACTAAATAATCTAAGCTAATATGATCATTTACGAAGAATATACTATAGATTATTGTAAAGCATTTAAAATGATACACCAGTTATGATTTGTAAGCAATAATAATAATTTAAATATTTCTGTTACGTTTCTTTTTTCTCTGCATTACAAAATTAGCTTCAAAATAAATTTCTAGCCTTCGTTTCTTTACTTATTATTGAAAAAATCATATTTCTTATAAAATATTTTTTAGTTTTTTTTTAAAATTTAATTTAATTGTTCTGATAAATTTACTATTTAAAGCATAAGTGATTATCAAATTTCAGTGACATTATTTTCAACTTTAATTAATTACAGCAATTTTATTTAAATCACACAAGTGATATTACATGTGATATGAAATGAACTAAGACTAATATTTCTAACTATGAGATGACTATTCATGATAGTGATAACGAGAATAGTTATGCAACATGTAATAAGAGTTTTTCATAGACAAGTAATCTAACTGACCGGCAGTTGGACTGATACTGGTTAATAACCTGACTTTTGTAATAAACGTAATAAGAGTTTTCAATGGAGAAGTAATGTGACTGAATACAGTCATGTTCATTTTAGTGTGAAGCCTCATTCTCATAGCATATGCAATAGGAATTGTTCCCATAAAAGTGACATGACTGAACACTATCGTGTTCAGACGGGTGAGAAACCTTTTTCCTGTAATATATGTAATAAGAGTTTTTCAATTCGCAGTGGTCTGACTAGACATAGTCGTGTTCACACTAGTGAGAAACCTTTTTCCTGTAGTATATGTAATAAGAGTTTTTCAATTCGTAGTGGTCTGACTAGTCACAGTCGTGTTCATACTGGTGAAAAACCTTATTCTTGTAGCATATGTAATAAGAGTTTTTCACATAGAAATCATCTGATTGACCACATTCATGTTCACACTGGTGAAAAACCTTTTTCCTGTGATATATGTAATAAGAGTTTTTCACAAAAAATTCATCTAACTATACACAATCGTGTTCATACTGATGAGAAACCTTTTTCTTGTAGTATATGTACTAAGAGTTTTTCACAAAAAATTCATCTAACTATACACAATCGTGTTCACACGGGTGAGAAACCTTTTTCCTGTAGTATATGTAACAAGAGTTTTTCAATCAGAAGTAATCTGACTACGCACAGTTATGTTCATACTGGTGAGAAACTTTTTTCCTGTAGTATATGTAATAAGAGTTTTTCAAGCAGAAGTTATCTGACTACACACAATCGTGTTCACAATGGTGAGAAACCTTTTTCCTGTAGTATATGTAATAAGAGTTTTATAAACAGAAGTGAACTGACTGCTCACAGTCGTGTTCATACTGGTGTGAAGCCTTATTCTTGTAGCGTATGCAATAAGAGTTTTTCCCATAGAAGTACAATGACTAAACACTGTCGTGTTCACACCGGTGAGAAACCTTTTTCCTGTAACATATGTAACAAGAATTTTTCAAACAGAAGTCAACTGACTGAACATAATCGTGTTCATACTGGTGAAAAACCTTACTCTTGTAGTATATGTAATAAGAGTTTTTCATATAGAAGTCATCTGACTGATCACATTCATGTTCACACTGGTGAGAAACCTTTTTCCTGTAGTATATGTAATAAGAGCTTTACAAGCAGAAGTCATCTGACTAATCACAGTTATGTTCATACTGGTGATAAACCTTTTTCTTGCAGTATATGTAATAAGAGTTTTTCACAAAGAAATTATCTAACTAAACACAATCATGTTCATACTGGTAAGAAATCTTTTTCCTGTAGTATATGTAATAAGAGTTTTTCAAGCAAAAATTATCTGACTAAACACAGTTATGTTCATACTGGTGAGAAACTTTTTTCCTGTAGTATATGTAGTAAGAGTTTTTCAAGCAGAAGTTGTCTGACTGCTCACAATCGCGTTCACACTGGTGAGAAACCTTTTTCCTGTAGTGTATGTAATATGAGTTTTTCACAAACAAGTACTCTAACTAATCACAATCGTGTTCACACTGGTGAGAAACCTTTTTCCTGTAGTATATGTAATAAGAGTTTTTCATACAGAAATAATCTGACTACACACAGTCGTGTTCATACTGGGGAGAAACCTTTTTCCTGTAGTATATGCAATAAGAATTTTTCACAAAGAAGTCACCTGACTCAACATTTTCGTGTTCATGCGGCAGAGAAAACTTCTTGCAGTACATATAACAAGAGTTTTTCAAACAAAAGTCATCTTAAAAGTCACAGTTATATTCATACTGGTGAGAAACATCTATCTATGTAGTTAGTATATGTAATAAGAATTTTTTGCATTGCAGTCACCTGACTAAGCATGTTTATACTGGTGAGAAACCTAATTCTTGTTGTATATGTAATAAGAGTTTTTCACAAAGAGGTCATCTGACTCGATGCAGTCGTGTTCATACTGGTGGCAAACCTTATTCGTGTAGTATATGTAATAAGAATTTTTCACATAGAAGTTGTCTGACTGAGCATTTTTGTGCTCATACTAGTGAGAAACCTGATTCTTGTTGTTATTTCTTTGAGATTGTCTCTGTAAGGGAATTTTATGCTCACTGCTCTGTTCATATTGCTGACTAACTTTATTTTTATTCACATGATGTTTAAAAAATAGTACAACCTGTTTATAAGTATAATATAATTTTCGTAAGGATAGTATAACCTGATAAATAAACCTGTTCATGATTATTTTCATTTCACTTTGAAATTTCACTAACATTGTGTAACGAGTTTCATAGAGAAATATTTTAACTGCCTGCTAATTTGTCCAGAGCAACTACTACAAATTAAAAGTTGTTTGTTGTAAGGTACCAATTTTTTTAACTTGTAATTCTGTTGGGCAAAGCTGATATTCAATATTATGGGCTTAGAAATTCGAGAAATAGTTATTTTACTGAGTATCGTCTGAATGTTAGGCTTTCTGGCTTCTGAATCGTTAACTCCTTTTTGTTTGAATGCAAACCATAGTATTCATTTTATGCCATATTTAACTATTAAAATATATTGTTTCTGATTCAAATTAAGGGTCATCATAACTTTTGCTATTAAGTAGGATAAAACACCCTTCATAATTCCAATTAAGGGTTGCTAATTTTTAATTTACTCAGTCGAAGAGCAAGAATACCAGGACCTTGGTCATTTTTTTATACTTTGAATGAGATTTGTAAATGTTAAATTTCTAAATTTGTTTTCTGATTAAGTTCTTTTATAGTTCTGCAAGAAAAAAGTTCGCACCCCTTGTTAATATTGGTAATAAAGGATGATTTTATTATTAATATTTTTTTTGTTGTTATGTTATTTTATTTAGAAGGTCTCAATGTTCATTTTTATGTGAATTAACAAAGAGATGTTAAGTTTTTCCCTCTGATTCCTCTGATGTATATAAGCTTCGAACCAATAAACATGATTTTTTTTTCAACCTAAGCATAGTCTATAAATCATTATTTTTGAAGTGTAAAAGGAAAGTTTTTTTTCAAAAATTCAGGAGTAACGATCCACTTTTTTTTTTTAAATAAATAAATTGAATTTTGTGACTAAATATTTACATTTATAAAAACATGAAAATTGGAATATGACTTCACATTCAAGTTAAATTATATAAAATACCATTTTAAACATAAAAATTTTAATTTTCTATGGAATTGAGAAATATGTTAAAGAAGTTCACTAAAATTTGATAATTTTTTGCTTTTTCTCTTGCTATTTGATATTTTACAATTTAACATAAGAAAATGATTTATTTGATAAAATGCAATCAATATATTTACTCATTAATCTAACATGAGATCATTTAGAATGTAGAAGCATAACGTTATTAAAAATAATAGCATTTTATTCATTTTTTTAAATTATGTATTTGAAAGAAAAAACATTAAAAAAAAACATCTTTAGAAAAATTTATGAACATGCTTCAGAATTTTACAGCAAATTTTTTTTTGTTTCATACATAAAAATAATGTTTTGTAATGTAGTTTTATAAGTAAAATAAATTTTTGTTGCATGTTTTTAAATAAATTTATTTTACTTTTAACTTATTGTGAGTAATATAAGTAGTTTTTCATGCTGCGTACAAAATTCAACTTTGTTGACATACAAAATTTAATTTTTTTTTTGCTCTAATGTATTTTACATTGATATATTACATTAATTTATTGACCTATTATGAGTAATTTAAGTAGTTTTTCACATTATGTACATAATTCAACTTAGTTGACAAACAAAATTTAACTTTTATTGCTCTAAAGTCATGTTTTATAGTCAAAAGCATTTACGTTTCTGTTCTCAGTATATCTGTAATAGTTGTGTGACTATGCAATATATAATTTTTTCTCTAAATAAAAAATATGCTATAAATCAAATGACTGTGACACATTTGATTAGCACTAAAAACAGCATTTTGCCTTATTCTTAATAGACATAGAATTCTAAATTTCATATAGAATGTAAATAAATAAAAGGATGATTAAAATATCTTTGATAAAATTTTTTAGTTGTGATAAATTTATGTTAATATATTGGAAAAAAAAGGCGTATACCTCTTACAAAAATATTAATTGTATTCGCTTCCTCACCTTTGGGTTAATGTCAGATATGGGCGTCGATTTCAACTGTAATATATTACAAATAATCACTGCTTTGTAATCAATTACTCATAGTCACGATTGCAGGTAATTGTGATTACAAATAATCATAATTTTTGATTACACCAGAGTAGGGCAAAAATATAATTGATTACATTTTTCAATTACAGATGATTGCAAATTTTCATTACAACTGGAATCGTGATTACATAACCAATTACTGTCATCAAGTACTTGTAATCATAATTACAAGCAATCAAAAAATATGATTACACATAATCGTGATTACATGCAATCGTGATTACAATTAATCTAAATATGTGATTACATTTTTATATACGTAGTAATTAGATATGCATGTGCAAACAATATAGACTTGTACACTACGAATGTATGCATTTTATGCAAATACTTGTCTATGTAAAATGTATATGTTCATGTAGGCATGCATATATAAGTACTTGTTTGTAGAAACATATATACATTGTACCAATGTGTGTCCCATCCATGTATCTACAATATTTCTCATCTTATGCATCTATGTAGAATGTATGAATATTGTCAAAGTATGAATTTGTTGTCAAAGTTAAAATGATATTCCACTATGTTACCATTTTTAACTTACGGGTTTTTGCAAAATCTCTTATTTTCTGTAACGAAAGTTTAATATTTTTTTGCTGGGTCCTGCGCAATTATTTGGAATTTTATGTACAGAAGCTGACATAAATTTGCAAAACCTTCCTATTATGTTTTTTAGTTTTAATAATGATTACATGAATACAACTTTTAAGCCGCAGTATGCTTTTTTATTTATTATGAGGCAGATATATTACTTGTGATAATATCCTCATAATTGTAACTGTAAACATTCAGATTTCATGTACATTTAAATTTATTTAATCACTAGATAAAACGAAGCATGAATTTAGCAAAGCCTAACATACAAACTGCCCAATAATTCACATCACAACAGTTATTTGAAGAATATAATAATTGAAGCAAATATATTCTTAATAAAGCAATCAGATTTTAGATTGAAAAATATGTGATTTCCGAAAAATATCTTTGAGATAAAAATATATGTGTGTATACTTTCAGAAGTGCATCCTTTTTTATATCGTTAATTCTAATATTTATGTGTTTTGCAAATATTATTTGTAATTAGCAACGGCAGTGAGTTAATTGGTAATGCATATTAATTACACAATTGGGATTCATAACTGCTTTTTGTTGCTATTATTTAGTTATAACTAATATGCATTAAAGTAAAATCAGACATTAGTTTTGATTGTGATTTAACTGTAAAAGCATATTATTTACAATCAATTAATCGTAAAAAAGCATATTAGTATCAATCATTAATAGCAAAGTAAATGAAGAAAAACATTAAACTGTGCGAGTTATATGATAAATTTGTAATAATTAAATAAAATATTTGAAATCCTTAAGGTCACGAGAAATATCTTTCGCAATTTTTGAGAAGTGTCTGAATTCTACCTATGTTTCTGGTGTTTATCTCTGAGTAATGTCATTTTTCAAGCCACTTATATTTAAATAATGTAAACTTGATAAAAAAAAATTTCAGTTCTGTATAATTTTTTTTAATGACACCAAAATTACAACTGTTAAAAAATATACTTAACTTTTATATTAAAACTTTTTTTAGTATTAATGGAGAAAAAATCAATTAGTAACTGAAAATAAAAACTCAACTGATTTTTTTTAAATGGATTGCATTTTTTATATGAAATAATTTTTCCTTAAATATTAACTTTCAAAAGTGATATTTGAACATTTTTTGTTTAATGCTATTAATATTCAATTTAACTTACTTTAAGCTAAATCTACACAATTTTCATTTAAAAATAATTAACAGTAGGTATTTAATTCTGTTAATATTTAAAGTGGTAAATCAAATTTAATACTAAAAATAATAAATGTTTGTAAAAATATCTTTGAAATTTAAAAAAATATAATGCGTGAGCATAATTATAAAGATATGTGATTGACATCAGTTATGTACTTTAAAGGGGAAAAAAAACATTAAAAAAAATCTGGTTATTACTTAGTTATTCTGTTCAATAGTTAATAGCTTTTTCTAATCCTAATAAAGGCAGGGGGACTAATTTTTAAAAAAATATGATTGCTAAGAAGTTTAAAAAAAAAAAAATTCTATATTTAGTGAATACTGTTTACAGAATCTTTCATTTATAAGCAAGATCTATTTTTCTATGAAAGCAAAATTTTTCATAACAATGAAATTGTGTACAATTCATGTAGTCATTGAGTTTCCCCTAATTCTTAAAAAGGTCTCAAAGCAGAGATCATAGTAATTAATAAACATAAAGGAATCCTTAAAAAAATGGAATATAGGAGTATATCAAGTCAACGGATGTCCCCAGCCACAACTGAAAATCAGTTTCGCAGCCAGTACTATGGATAAAGGTTTACAAAATTTGACTTTTTATCGGTATTTACACCTGGCTGCGGTGTTAAAATTTCGTCGTTAGCTCATGCGCATTTCACGCAGCCGGTGTACAGGGAGTCGCGAATAACTTGAACGATATTTAGTGCAGACGATATTTTAAGTTGCAAAATCAAACACCAAAACGTACTTTCTCAGAATAGACATAACTTTTTTTCGACGCATACGAATTTCTGTGCCGCAAATTATAAGGGGTTGACGCAATTTGAGAAATACGGTCACAATAATTTAGTCAAGAGAGCTGTCCAAAGTTTGAACCCTTTAATGTTAAATTTATTTTGTGCGTATTTTGCCATATCTCGAGAACTTTTTAATCGAATCGGAAATTTTTAGCATACGATTGTAGAATTCATTTGCCTAAAGATAATTCCTTGCGAAAAGTAACTTTTAGTAAATATTTATTTAATAATAGTCGAAAAAAATTTGAATTGTAAGGTAAAACATTTATTAAATCATTTTAAAGAACGTAATTTCACATGACAAAATACGAAATTTGATCGAAATCTGTTAAATAGTTCTTGAGAAATAGAATTTTAAGGAAGTTGTATATTTAAAACTGCATCAGACTTAAAAACTTACGTTTTCTGGATAAACATAGGTTTCTTTTTACATATTTATATTCTTCACGTTCAAAATAAAGGGGATAGCTGCAATCTGGATATTGTGACTATCACAGTTTATTTAGGAGAACGGATGAAAATGTGGTCCCCTTCATATTAATTTCACTTTTGTGAATTAATGACAATACTATTGAGATCATAATGCCCAGATTGTGGCTGCCCCTTATACTTTGGGGGCCAGAATATTCTGAATCCTTTGAAAAAAAAGGTATGTTTATTCAGAGAAAGTACGTTTATGATGATTAATTAAATAAAGGGTCGAAAGAAACAGTTTAGGGTAAATAATTTTAATAATTTCTTAAAATTTACCCACATAACAATTATGAAGCACACAGAAAAGTTAGAGCTGTTTAAAGTCTTTAACCTCTGAAAAAGAATATCTTCTAAATGTTAATAGAGGGGGGCTATTTGTGTGTTGGGTAGTGAGAGAGGGGTCTGACCATTTAAGCAAATTATCAGGGGTGATTGTATTCCTGGTGTACTCCCCAAGTATCACTCAGTATCGATCGATCTCGAAGAAACATCGCTTACGACGTCGATCGATGTTTTCCCGAAACATTGATCTATGTAAAAGCGTCCGATTTTTTCTATATTGTACGACATTGTAAAATTGATGTAGATCTATATCTCAATAACGCCGTAGAATGTAGAGTTTGAAAAAAAAAACATATTTCACGGCGTCTACAGATACAGTAGAATGCCGATGAATATTTTCATAACGTTATTCGCATAACAATA